TCACCCCGAGCTCCCCAGCCCGGAGCCCCAGTGTCCTCCCTTTGCCCTCTCAGTGTTCCCCCCCCAGCCTCTCAGTCCGGCGTCCCAGTGCTCCCCACTGAGCTCCCCCAGTCTGGGTCTCCTCCCAGTGCCCTCCCCCAAGCCTCTCTGGAGTCCCAGTGCTCCCCTCCAGTGCTCACCCCAGTGCCTCAGTCTGGGATCCCAGTGCCCTCTCCTGAGCCACCCGGTCTGGAGTCCCAATGATCTCTCAGTGCCCCCTCATATCTTCCCCAGGCTGGAGTCCCAGTGCTGTGCGTCCCCTCCTGACCCCTCCACCCTGAGGCCCCAGGGCTCCTACTTTACCCGCAGGACAGGAAGGGACCTCAGGATCCCAATTAGGGACCTCAGTGCCCCAGTAATGGACCCCAGTCTGAAGCCCTAATGTCCCTGGGACAGGACCCCTTGTGCCTTCGTAGTGCCTTCCTTAAGCAGAATCCCAGTGCCCTCATGTCCCCCTCATCCCACAGTGCCAGGCTCCAGCACCCCCACTACAGCACCCCAGTTCTCTTCCAGTTCCCACATAGTGGCCTTGGGGCAGGACCCCAGTGTCCATCAGGCACCCAGCAGCCTCCCACTCTGTGCTGTTCAGAGGGTGCAGACTGGATCCCAGTCTGCTCCCGGTTTGAGTTATGAGTCTGTTTCTGATCAACCTGGGACAATTAGGGGGGCAGGCTGGGCACGGGCTGGGGGATTTGGCAGCCCTTTGGGGGCCCTGCAGAGAGGAGATAGCCCAGGCCGAGGCAGGCAGAGGCCCGGGGCAGGCAGCGTCCGCCTGGGTCCGGGAACAGGGAAGGCTTTTCCTCTTTCGCTTTCTGCCCACGAAAAGCCCAGGGCGGGAGTTGGCCGTGTGCCCAGGGGACCTGGCAGGCACGGGGAGGGGGGGCCATGAGCCCCTTTGCCTGCCCGAGGAACCCCTCAAGCTGGGGGCTGGGAGTACATTTCTCCATGCCATCACTCAATGCCTTCTCACCCCCCCTGCTTGGGGTCCTCACGCAGGCTCTGCACCCCCAACCCATACTCCACAGTGGGCACACGGTCCTCCTACCGCCTGCCCCAGCCCCGCTCCTGCCCGGGGGCCGCGGGGCTGGCAGGGGAGGGCGAGGCGGAGGGGGAGGAGAGCTGCCGGGAAGAGGAACCGTCTCACTGTGGAGGGGCTGTGGCTCCCCCCGGCAGCGCCCCACTTCCCTCACACCTCGAAGACCACCCAGATCTCCAGGACAAGCAGCCCTTCTTGCTCACCCCCACACTACTTTGGGAGCACCCCTTTATTTACCCCTCACCTCTGCTTTTGGCACTGGGGCACCTTCCTGCCCTCTGGGTATTGCAGGGGGTGCCCCCAAACCCAGCCTGTCACCCCGAGGGCTCCCTGCGGTGCCCATGCCCCGCCACCCCCCTCGCCACCCTGCGAGCTCAGCTGCGGCATGGCTGCGGCCGAGATAGGGCATCTCCGGGCGGCCGCGGGCAGCCCCTTCCTGCCCACAGTGCCGCCGCAGGCTGGGC